TAGGCTCGTGGATTTCGTCAAGGGGTGATATCTACGAGGAATGTAAGTCTTTCATAGTGTTGGGTTCATTAATCCACATACCAATCAGGTTTATTTTAGTGAAGTTTGTTCTAGAAAATTAAAAGTTGATGAATCTCTAATATTGCTCTTGAAATTGGCTTTCATTCTTGAGTTAGGTTGAGATTGGAGTTCCTTGAGGTTAGAATGTTGTTTTCTTGATTTTTTTGAGTTAGATTCGTGTGTATACTTGTTGGTAATCTAAATAAAAGGGAATTTGAGGGGGAAAACAAGTTTAGTCTATTTGAAGGTTAGGAAACGAAGAAGGAATTTAGTCGGATAAATCTGGACACTGGCTTCGCGTCGAGGACCTACTTCCTAGATTTGGGAAAAATCCATTCATGTCGCAGAGCACTCACGAACCGTTCTGCCTCAAGAAAATTAATTTTGTGGCATGATTAACTATCTAAAATCATTCCAAAACATCATGAGACCTTCCCTATCACAAATCACGATCCTTGAATCCATAAATTCAATTCAATTCAATGTAAGTTAAGATTCAAGTCAATAGAATTTAAGAGTCAAGTCAAGAGTAGTTCATAAAGTTTTTAGAAGTGTATATGGGGACTATGTATTTTCAAAGAGTTTAAAGTACAAAAACTTTGATTTCCGAAAGAGCCTTTGAGCTAGTTTTCAGTAAAGAGTCTTTGAGCTAGTTTTTCAGTAAAGTGTCTTTGAGTTAGTTTTCAGTAAAGATTAAGTGTTTTCATAATTAAGCAAGAGAGGAAAATGATATTTTAAAGATAGCTTTAAGCTAAGTTTTTGAGCAATTATCTCAAATTACATAAAGAAGTTATATTTTTAAATATGGATAATGCATAAGTACCCCGTCAATCTATGCCCGAAATCCCGGCGATACACTTATACTATACTAAGGTCCTATTATCTCCCTAAAGTTATTTTATAAATAATTTTCTACCCCTTTTCGTCCTATGTTACACTAGCTTGGAAAAAAATGTCAACATGCACTGGGCACACAAGATAGTGCCATGTAAGCCGAAAAGGGGTAGAAAATTATTTATAAAATAAGGTTAGGGGGTAATAGGACCTTAGTACAGTATAATTGTGTCTATGAGATTTCAGGCATGTGTGGAGGATACTTGTGTATTTTCCCTTTTAAATATAAAGAGTTAGTAATTTTGGGAGTAGTATTGAGCATCGATATGGGGGAGAGCTGAGAAAGCTCCGAGCCTCCATAAACCATGTAGCCACCATAGATATAAAAAGGAAAAATGCACAAGTACCCCCTCAATCTATGCCTCAAATTCCAGAGACACACTTATACTATACTAAGGTCTATTACCCCCTTCCATCCTCTTGAACTTATTTTATAAGTAATTTTCTATCCCTTCTCGACCTACGTGCACTAACTTGAAAAAAGTCAACCAGCGTTGAGCCCACAAGATAGTGTCATGTAGGCCCAAAAAGGGTAGAAAATTATTCATAAAATAAGTTCAGGGGGATAATAGGACTTTAGTATTGTATAAGTGTGTTTCTGAAATTTCGGGCATAGGTTGAGGGGGTACTTGTGCATTATCCTATATAAAAATTATCATACTTTTTAGATGATTCCTTTAGTGCTTTTTAGCACTGACTAGTGGATCCACTTAGTAGTTCAAGTTTTATACTCATGGCACGGTGCAGGATGGCCAGGCAGTGTGAGGCAAAACACAGTATCATCACGATAGCTCTTAAGTAATGGTTTCGGTTAGAGAAACTCCCACAATAATATTTTTTGTATTTCTATATACAACAAAAATAATTGTAGTTCATATTGTATCTTTATACATAAAAGTTATCATTGTATTTCTAAATACACAGAGTTAAAAATCATGTTTTATAGCTTTTTTTTATACTGCATTCATTTACAGTGCTTTATATTGAAATCAATTGAGTTCAATTGAATTAATTAAAGCATAGATAAGTGTTTCTTTCCGACACTTTTTAAGCCTATGTTATGTTCCAATTCGCATACTCATACATTCAATGTACTGATGTCAATTAACCTGGATCATCCTATGATGCAAATGCAGGTAATCTTGATTAGCATTCAGCGATTCGTTGATCCAGTGAGCACTCATAGTTAGTTGGTAAGCCTTCTAGTTTTTTGAAGGATCTTTTTATTGTTTTTAGTATGTTCGTTTATTAAGATGTCGTGGTCATATCCCTACATTCATCTCAACTTTTAGAGTCTTCGTAGATAGACATTTCAGATGTTAGTTCTTTTGTCAACATTTTATATTGACTTATGTTCATATTTGAGTTGCCATTTTGGCTAAGCTAAATGTTTATTTTAAAAACATTATGAGTTCAGTTTAAGTTATTTATCATGTGAATACTTTTCTTAATTCTCAAAGTTTTTCGTTGAGTACGTAAGTCAGACCAAGAATTCGTTTAAGGTCAACAATGGTTCTCGAGTGCCCACCATATTCAGGGAGTAGGTTCAGGACATGACAATTTCAGCCACGTATTCATAATTAGTTAATACTTATTTAGACTAATTAGTTTATATGTATTTTATTAATGATACAATGCAATCTGAAAATATGAATGTCTTAGTATTTTCGAAACCAATTATTTTTCTTAATTCTTCTTTCCAAAAGATTTTGCGTTTCTTCAATGTGTCTGAGATTGCGCATATATATATGTAATTGTGTTGGGGGCAGAGCTTGACCTTTTTTTGTGTTTTTTTTAATTCTTTTTTATTTGAATTTGCAGTTTTTATTAAATTTTTTGAACTTTTGTGGTAATTACTGAGTTAGTTTACACATATTTTTAAAGCTTTAGTTAAATTATTTCTTTTTATTTTGTTATATTTTATAATCTTAAATTGTAAGTTCAAACTATCTAATTTTTAGTTATCTATAAACTAATAGTTGAAAAGGATAAAGAAGTTTTTTGAAAACAGTTACATTGATTGGGGAAGAATTATTCGTTTGTTTGGATATTATATCACTAATCAGTCCTTATATTTTAGGACTAGGTAGAGGTGGCCCGTGCTTGAACGGGCTCAACGTTGAAAGATTTTTGTTTGTTGGATGTAAACATATAGAACATATAGAATATATGAGTCGGCTAAATGTGCATATGGATATATATATATATATATATATATATAGAGAGAGAGAGAGAGAGAGAGATATAGATAGATATATTATATATATTAGAAATATGGTTGGCAGTTGTTTTGTTCGTTGTCATGACTGTGTTATTTAAGTTGGATATCTACAATATATATTCAACGTCTTTCAGAAAGCACCTGTGAAATAAGATGGAAAATGAATTTAGTATATCGTTACAGGGAGGAGTTAATGTTGAGTATAGTACTGGTCTGTTTAAGAATTTATCATTGATTGCAAGATTTAAGCACCTGTCAATTTCTTATAAGTATGCAGCAAAGTTCGTGCTATCAGCACCAAAAGTGTACACCATCAAGACAAAATGGTGTTGCCAACCATATTGCAAAAAAGTATTACACTATAACAAAAGGAGAGTATCAAATGTTGAAGAAATACATATACAATAATAATTTTAAAATTAATAGGATAAACAACATTTATTGCTGCATAGCAATTGAGAGTCGTGTAGAGAGAATACCTTTTAGTCTATTTGCTTCAGCTTGCGTTTACTACTTTCTGGAGTTGTTGGTGTGGTGATGGGTAGTGGCAGATTGCTAGCAATATCTTTCTCAGTGATTGACATGATAAACAGTTTTGCTGAAGATGCATCCTTGTTTTTGGCAAACAACTTTATTTGGACGGTGAATGACTTACCTAGCAGTTTGTGTTGCACGGATACGAGTGACAACAATTATTGCTGAAAGATGGAACAAATCATGTAAGATTAGATTTTTAAGGAATAAACAAGAGGTTGTAGAGTGTTTTACATTGATGCAACGTATGTCATGAATTTGTGCTACAGTTAGAGACAATAGTTCTTCTCCAATTTTATCAGAAATCATTGCTGTTGTTGAACAGTATCATCCTTGATGGTTACTTCAAATTGGCATCTGGGCAAAAGTCAATATGTTTATGTTCAATAATAATTTTTTAAATTGAAAATTGTTATTTAGTTAGTCATCTTTTTATAACCTAAAATATATTTGTTGCATACACTTTTACTAATCGTTCATATGCTCATATATTATGCAATCAAATATGTTAGCCATCTAGGAGGTGTCTTATTTTTAGCAATATGCTCTCAATAATTTTTTAGCACTTAACTCAAGTTCTTATAATAAAATAAAAATTGCATGCAAAATAGGTCGAAATACTAACATATAACACTAAGGGTTGTTTGACTGACGAACAAGTTATCTTGATATATCTATGATTTTACCTACTTTAGTCACTTTCTTCATGCTTAGGCACAAGAAACCAATTCCCAGCAAGAGAGCTCTGAAGGATTACAATAACCCAGGCATGGGCAATATCGATGGTTCTAGCAGTTGGTGTCACAAAAACAATGTCACATCCCTACAATTCCCAGGATGAAATATAAAAGCAGAACATTAGTGGAGTTTGCTATTTTCATCAACCTAGAGTTGTGGAAACCGAATCAATACCTGCCCCTCATGAAGAATTTCAAAGTTAGCAGTACTTTGATTGTGAAGAAACTGAACCTTCTGTTCTCTACTAACTGTGTGAAATAAAAAGACAGACATAGATAGCTGAAATAACAACTATGAATAGGTAGCCTCCAAAACAATTCAAAGAAGTAGAAAAACTTATATCCAGTTAGTCCACAATACATCACTAGCACAAGAACAAGTCGTAAAAAGTAATTTTCACATCGATTATCCACATGACTCGCACTAGGAAATAATCAAACAATCACATTCCACAGAATTGTTTAAGTAGGAAGAAGTTACTATTTTATTAGAAGAATAGTATTGATAATGGACTTACTTTAAGATACATTAAAAACTAACCTAACCTCTATTCCTCCACGTCAATAGATTATTCACAAATTAAACTTGGAGTTGTCTTATAAAATATAACAGAATCATTTTCACAATGATAATGTATGGATGGATTTACCTCTTATCCTGCCATAGTGTGAAAGATCCACAACCTAGAACAAATTAAATAATACCATCAGATCACACTTTAAAAGACTAAGCTGAGCAGTATACAAGTTCCCTTATAAGGCCAGGCTAATTCCAAAAATGGCAGTAAAATATACAACATGTGATGGGAAAGTTGGACCATTAACACATCTTTAACCAACATATGAAATTTATATGACATGGAGATTTTTAATAGGAAAAAAATAACTAAAATTACCAAGAAAACCTGAATCAAGCTAGATACACACCGCAACACCATTCTCAACAGCATCCAATGCCTCCTCGTCATTATCGAATATCCCCATTACCCCATCTTCTGATACCTTTGCCCGAACAATTGTCATAGTATCCTGCAGGAAGAAAAAGTTAACAAGCCAAATCTAAGGAGACCAACAATGAAAGCATGTAGAAACATTAGGTCAGTGACTCTCATCCTTCCCTTGATCATCAAGAAATAATTAGCAGACGTAACATGTCCTTCGTGTACACTCATTGTACAGAATAAAGATTTTTTAAGTCTTAACTGCCTACTGAAGTGAGACATTCCAAGGGGTGGATGGAGGGCACCCATAGCCAATAAGACTTGTCTACCCCACCCCCATTACATTGAGTATTTGTTTTGATTTTTTTCATTCAGAAAGTAAAATTTATTTTCAAAGCTTTAGGATTGATAATCCAAATAATTCAATTAATTTTACCCAGCAAGATAGTACATTAAACTTGACAATTCTACATTAATAATATTAGGAAAGAAATGATTACGTCTGCTAAAAGTCCACTATCGGTCTTCCTTCTTAACACATGCTACATCCAACTGACTTTCAAGATTAAGAAATATAAGAATTTGGAATTTATCAAAACCCACATTCTAAGAATGAAGAATTACCAACTCAAAAACAATAAGAAGCAGGTTGGGTTTATTTAATATGGTACTTGTGAAAGCCCAAAATCACGTTAACTTCCAAAAATCAAGAATTAGCAACTCAGAATACTAAGAAACAAGTTTAAGAATTTGGTGCTTACGAGGAGGTCGTGGTCGATGGGAGGAGGAGAAAGATCAAATGGCAGCGCAACAGAAGAAAAAGAAGAAGAAAGGCATCGATTAATCTTCACCGCCGACACATCGTAGGGCCGGTAAGGTAGTGGAATAAGTACGGATGATGATGAAGAAGAAAAAGGAAGAGAGGGAAATAACTCCGAGCAATATCAAAACAGACCTCCTATCAATAGTTCCTTCAGCAAAAATAATTCCACTCAAATTCCAGACCATTCACCCCCCATTGTAACCCATTACTTAGCCTCTCGAATCAGAGTTAATCAAAATCGAAATCAGAGTTAATCAAAATCTATATGTCCCACCATAGACATAACCCCTCCTATTATTAGCACTCGGCAAGGATACCCTTCCATAACCTTTCGGGAAGAAGATTTCAAAGTCAAAATGGTCAGCAGATGCAAGTACACCTTGGTGGGTAAATTTACTAATTCTATGCCCAAAATGGAGATAATCAGGAAGAGTTTTGTAGCCCAAACACAACCTGATTAAAAGAGAACCAAAATTTACTGCATGTGAAAATATATGGGTTTTTCATACATGAACAGAGGAAGACAACCAGAAATTTGAATTAGAAGACTAAACTAGAAATTTGAATTAGAAGACTAAACTAACACTACATCTTACAAAAGAGAACCAAAAGTTACTGCATGTGAAAATATATGGGTTTTTCTTACATAAAGAGAAGAAGACAACCCAAATTTTGAAAAGGAAATTCAAAATACGCTCAAATGGATTAATATTATTGGGATTTTTGTAACAACGAACAAGAATCACATACCCAAATCAAATTTGGGTATATTCACCCACCTAAATCAATCTCAATCAGCCAATCAAAAGGACAATCCAACATCAATAACAATTTCAAACCGAAAAATAAGTGAATATTCATACACCTAGATCAAATTTGGAACTTGAACATTGATTGAAAGGAAGATGAAGGGAAAAAAAAGCTTGATTAAAACATGTAAAACGTTACCTGGAGAAGGCTGAAGAGAGTGAACTTCCATGTGCAAATAGTGAATCATTATAAATGAAGAATTAGGAGGAAGACATAGGAGGAAGAAGACATGCATATTGATTTTACCAGAAAAAAGAAACGTTAGCTGAGAAAATGAAAAGGCAAAATTGAATAACAAGGAGAAGACACCTAACCATATACATAATTGAAAAAACAAATATAACCCTTGAAGCAAGCATGTTGATTATGCCTTTTCTAATATACGAGTAATAGAAGGAGGAAGTTAATGTGCACTTAAAACATATATTTTTCATTTTTTTAATTATTATTACATAAAAATGTGCTGTTAAATGGTTCAAATTTTAAAAATACCTTTTCAAAAAAGGGACCACAATATTTTTATTTTTATTTTTAGTGTTTGAAATTTCTATTTTTATTTTTAGAATTTCAATTAATTTTAATAATTTACGTTTTTTTCTTGTAATGCTGACAATATACATTTATAAATTTCAAAATGTGCTAAAAAATATATAACAATTATCTTTTAATTTATTAGTTTTTATTTTCTTGATGATTTGTGTTTTTTATGGGTTTATTTAAAAGAAATATTTTTATTTCTAGATTTTTAGATTTTAATTTAATTCTTTTTCGTGGTAACTTTTTTTTTCTGATATTTATAATATACAGATAAATTATATATCTATATATAGATTATTATTATTATTATTATCATTATTGTTGTTGTTGTTGTTGTTGTTGTTGTTGTTGTTGTTATTATTATTATTATTATCTACATTTGTTTTTCTTTAAATGAGGAAATTGTGGAAAGATGGTTAAAATTTAAACTATACCTTTTCACAAAAAAAGGATCACAACGTTAGAGGTTTTCTTTTTAATAAACACATACACATAATTAATTTTGTTATAAAACTATAGAATAAGAAGAAGAAACTAGAGAGAAAAGAAGAGAAGACTTGTTATTTCTCTTGATGAATGAATTTAGGGAAAATGCACAAGTACCCCCTCAACCTATGCCCGAAATCCCAGAGACACACTTATACTATACTAAGATCCTATCACCCCCCTGAACTTATTTAATAAGTAATTTTCTACCCCTTTTTAGCCTACGTGGCACTAGTTTGAAAAAAAAAGTCAACCATCGTTGGGCCCACAAGATAGTGTCACGTAGGCTTAAAAGGGGTAAAAAATTATTAATAAAATAAGTCCAGGGGGGTAATAGGACCTTAGTATAATGTAAGTGTGTCTCTGAGAATTCGGGCATAGGTTGAGGGGGTATTTGGGCATTATCCCATGAATTTACAATGAAGAGGAGCACTCTATTTATAGGAGAAATCTAACTTGGTCCCCAAGTAGGACTCTTTAACCATATCCTAAAAAGGACTCCACATGATAGACATGCACTATAGTACAAATACTTTATAATACTCCCCCTCAATGTCTAATTTATACATGATGTGCCTCGTCAAAAATCTTACTAAAAGAACTTTAAGAAAAGAAAAACTCTAGTAAAGGAAAAGAGTACACATATCTATTAATACGCATCTAGGCTGCCTCATTAAAAACCTTACAATGAAAATCCAGTGGGACAAAACCTCGTAAGAGAAAAAGAGTACAACGCGTATTAACTCTCCCTAATGAGAACATCAACCTAGAGACTTGAATCTTCGCATTCCAAGCTTGTGCACCATCTTCTTGAAAGTTGCAGTTTGTAGAGACTTGGTGAATAGATCTGCCACATTATCATTTGATACGCTCAAACTTACTTCTCAAATAAGAAGTAAAGCGGTCGTGTCAAGTAAATAACCCAACTAACAACTTCAAATGTTGGAGTTTAATCAATTAATCAGAGTAACTATGGTTTACGTGTTCCCCATAGGTTCATAACTTGATAATTCTAACTATAACAATTCTTTCCTAGTATCTTTTATGTAAAGTGATAAGTTATGTATTTCTAAATCCTTGGTCCGGCATCTAGAAAATTTTACTCCGCACCTTGGTCCGGCTACGTGTGTTGCTAAACTAACCCTTACCTTTACCTCATATTAATCATCTTATTCGATATTTGACAAAGTTATTACCTCGTACCAAACAATACTAGCCTATTAGATAGTATACACTAAATCTATGTTGATAATTCTTTTCCTATTATCTACCTCCTTGGTCCAGCAAGTAGCATTAAGGCGAGTTCTAACGTTGGCCATCCGTTAAAAAGACTTCTAAGAGAAAGAATTATCAATACATGCAAGACACTATTCTAGAATTTTTATTGTTGTTATGTTTTACCTCATTATTCGCCTATGGTTCCCAAAACCCTAGTTATGGAGTTTAGTTACCCATAGTCATAATCACAATATTCAAATATGTAATATAAGAATTCATGCACTTACTTCAATGAGAAACAATAAAATCTAAAATTTCACTTGATTAATCAACAAAAGTCCAACAATCGATTACAAGAGTATAAAAGTTATTCAAGAGTCTAACCCTAAAAACGAGAATTTTCGAACTATTTATAAAAAAATCAAAACCTAATTAAATAAGGACTCTATTTGCTGGAAATCTTTCAAAACGCGACTGGATCGACGGACCTAGCGACGGATCATCGTGGTCACGACGGACCGTCATAGATTCCATCTTCTCATACTTGTGCAATTTCTTTTGATTCTCTCTTCAGTACCCTCGACTGCAGGTATGTCGGATCGTCACAGACACAATGGTTTGTCGAGGGTCTTTGTTCCAAAATACTTGAACTCTTGGAATTTGGGTACTGGGACTACTTCTCTGATCATCACAACAAACTAGCAGGATGGACCGTCATGGCGACGACGGTCCATCACGCACTCCGTAACCCCACACTTGATCAGTCTTCCCCATCTTACTTCAGCAGCTTCACTACGATGCCACCTACGGACCGTCATGGGCACGACGGACCATCACAAGCTCCGTAGGTGGTACTTTTCAGCATTTCTTGCTCAAAAACCTTCGTATTCATCTTTTAGACAGATTTCCTTCTAATAAAAAGAAACTTACAAAAAAATTAGTACAAAAAGGCTTTGGACACACTAAACGTAAGGAAAAAAGTATTACAAATACCGTGAAATCACGGTAATCAACACCCTCAACTTAAATTTGTTGTTTGTCCTCAAGCGACGCACTATGACTCAATACAAAATCTTAGTATAATAGTATCCATGTTTTATCTTTCGCAATCATTTGGTTATCAATCCCGATCAGTCTCATCATGTTTATGCATGCTATCACATTAGGCTTGAATTATGTGGAATCAGACCATGACACAGACTCACCATGCACTAACACCTATCCTCTTCAATTTCTCACCGAGGTGCTAATATTTCTAGTATTGCAACTAGTGTCCTCACTTCAAAACAAAATCCTCATTTTTCACACAATGATTTCAGTTTGAGTATAAGGATTAATTTTCAACACTCACTGTCAGAACAAATTCACACTCATTCATACATATTGCCATAACTTTGCCCTTATTTTCACTGCTTTAAGTTCGCTATACAACTCTTAGGATCACGATTGGACTTTCTTAGCTTGTAACATAGGCTCAGGGTCAGGTAGGGTATATTTAGGTATACTTAAAAGACTTTTTTCCCTCCTTGACATATAGGCTAAACATACCACTTTATCATTTTATTTCGCCCAGTTTCTCATATTCTTTCACCTTGCTATTTTCCCTTCTTTCTTCATTTGTGTAAGTGACTCTCTTCTTTTCTTGCTTGTATTTCTTGTATTTTTTTTATTTTTTATTTTTTTAACTGATTCTTAAGTCACTTTACTTTTGTTCTTTCCCTCTCTTTGTTCATTCAACCCCACTTTCCAGATTATTCCTCATAATAGCCACCCTCAACTCATGGCTTTGCCATGAGTCAAAGTATACAATACCCAAAGTTGGATCAGGGCCATAAAAAGGGTTGTTTACAGCATCAGCCACCCTCAAAATATGCTTTTGGCATAAGCTGAGGTGCACATGTCCAAGAAGGGACCAGGGCCAACACATTATTCTCAGAAAAAATCAGTTGGGGTAAAAAAGAAAGGTCTAGTTTAAGCTCAAATAATTTGGATCAAAGAAGGATTAATTTCATTTGGTTTTCTTTTATTTGGGCTAAAAATGGGCTATATTGAACAAGGGCCTATGATCCTTTCCTAATTGTCTATTATAGCTTACTTTTAGCATGATTAACCAGGCAAGTTCTAGCTTAGTACAAATAGTGGAATATTCAAATCTTCCTCACACTCACTTGACATCTCATTACTCTACCAGATTATCAGACACCTAGTTCGAATTTTAGACTTAGGGTATTGCATTGGTGTACCTGTATGTCATGCTTAGAGACACAGATTTATC